AATTTGATTTGGAATTGAAACACAGTCAGGAAAGTATATATAAAATTTAGTAATATTTTTTTTCAATCAAAAATGGGAAAATTGAAGCAAATGTGACCGAATGTGGGCAAATAGTTTTTCGAATTGTCAAAAAACGTTACAATTTTTTCAAGTCATTGCAAATTTCTTTAAACACGTTTCTCGTCTTTATTTTAATATGGGTTTTCTGGAATCCAAAAAAATTGATGAATGAAGAAATAGTTGCTCAATAAAGCGTTTTTTGCAAAAATAACGAAATTTTACTTTCCAAAACATTTCATTGCTCTTACTTTGGTATATTTTCCCAATTTAATTCAACACGAACTAAATCAATACTTTCTCTTGCCAGTTTGATACATCTTTGTAAGAAACTTGAAAATATCCTAGTTTTTCCATAGTGTTGGGGCAACTTATTTAGTTCATTTTTCATTCAAATCAACCGGAACTTATTGAGTCTAAATGTGAAAAATCTACTTACTGCGGTCCGCGAGTCCAGAAGCTTCTGTCTCAATTTGGAATTCAAGGCGTCCCTAACGTTTACCTGCAACACACAGCATCGACACATGCTCACACACATAGCAAAAAAATTATAACATAAAAGAAAATCACAGAACGGATAACGAATAAGCAAACATTCTCCCCCAAAATTCATGCTTTTAGGATTTGCATTGAAATAAATTCTTGAAATACCGTTGACTTCCATTACAAATCGTATTTGAATCATTTCAGTGAAAAAATATCAGCGCAAATCCAAAGAAGTGAATTAAAACCAAGAACATAAATGCCTTTTAAAATTATTCCATGAATGTTTGTGTCCTGCTCTCATAATCGGGTTTAATAAAAGATGCATCATTGCTATTCGATTTGTACCGTTTACGGGCTGGAAAGTCCCAGTTGCTTAAAAAAAACCCTCCAAATGCCCTGAAGGTAAACCATGCAACTCTGGTGGCTTAGAATCTTTTTGCAAAATATCCGTGAGTGTTTTGCTCACCTTTGAGGGATTTAACAGCTTGGTGAAGTAGTAAATCTCGTCGTCGACGACCTCAGTCAAATGGTAGTACTTTTTCAGGCCTTCGGGTGGTAGTTTGCGGATTTGCCGGTTCACCTCGTCGTACAGCGACGTGCAAATGAACACATCCTGTTCGGGAATTTCCGAGGGCCTCACTGAAACCCATTATCCGAATCACCCAAAACCCATAAGCCGCCACTTAAAATACATACATGATACATAGTCGTTGTAATCTAAAACCGCACACTTCCCTATAATACTGACAATGGGATTGATATCCTCCTCGGTAGACTGCAACAGCTCGTTCTTGTAGTAGAGCTTATTGGTGAGATTTGGTACCTCGGATGGGCAGATGAACCAGGGACCGCGAAAGTAACACTTGCCGCTATAAAACAATGCGAAAAACAATTTACAATGGCAAAAAACCGTAAGCGCACTCACTCTGATGTATCCCAAATGGAGTCGATTTGAGCCACAACTTGTTTGCCACCGTCAACAACCACATACACAAAATCCCCGGTCTTGATCACACCTGAACAGATTGTATTGTATTGTTCATAGTAGGTGTTTCCATCGTCAAGGTCCGTGGCAACATAGGCCACAACGTTCTAGAAAAATTAAAGAACACCGTCTTTAATTTAATTCAATTTAAAAATAGGAAAACTCACTGGTCGATCGTCATCGATCATCCTCTCCAACTCTTGAAGCTCCGCCAGTTCGTCCTTGTGCTTCTCCAGTCTCTCCTTGAACACCGACATGACTCGTTTGGGTTCCAACGGCACCTCGCGCTCGACCAGCTTGTAACTGGAAGCTAATTCGGAGAATATTTTGATTTTTTTTATGGCTCGATGCCGCGAACTGTATCGGGACTCCAACACGTAGACATCAGCTTCGTCGTAGCCTGTAACGAAGCCAATTCGTGATTTTTCCCAATGTTTTTCATTGAAATTACCTTCTGGGACCATGGCAAAATATTGCTTAACCGACAGGACGCAACAGCGATCCTTAATCTCCTCCAGCGCTACGTTGACGTATTTATCAGACTTAAAAACCTCCTTTTCCAGAAACCTTCTAGTTTGAACGTGATATGTTTCGTCTGGTCGCAGATAATGGTTCCCGTAGAGCATTTGCTGTCCATTTTTCTCGTACAACTTCTCTATCTTGATAATATGCGGTTCACAGCCCTGGAACAACGTCGTGAATACACGGCTGTGTAAACAATCGCTACTGGTCTACCTCTTTTTTAGAATCCAAGTAAACATACTCCCCAACTTGGAAAGTCTTCTGATTGCATGTCATCGTGTCTTCCGTAGAGCCGTTGCTGTTGCTGCCATCTTTCAGCACTGAATCATCGGAACTTCGAGTCTCACTATCTTCTTCAATTGACTCTTGCATAGACTTTTGGTGCCGTAGCTTTTCAATCGCATGTCTGGCATCTAAAGACCTACAAATCCGCAATATACTAAGCAACTGGGTGAAACTACACATAAAAAAACATACGTATAGATTAAAGCAGGCGACTGTAGGACTTCTCCGTGCTTGCAGAGTTCGTCCCTCACGTGAATGAAGAACATCTGCATCTCGATGGAATCCTCAAACACTTGGGAGTCGGATCTGGACAATCGACGCGCTCTGTCCAGGCATGCAAAAAAATCCACTTGAAAAGTATCAAGACGTTTGTATAGGTTTTTGTCCAATCTCCGCTTGATCAGGTCTAAGGACAGTGCTCGAACCCTATAAGAAGCGAATTGATTACATACACTGAGGAAACAACCCGCTCGAAACAATATACTTTTTGCCGTCGACTTCATCGTGTTCAGGAAGCTCAGCCATCGAATCGCTGTAACACCGCCCTTCATCGTCTTGGTGATTGTATACAGTGGTAAACAGCGTAAGAAGAATGTCTTGAACGGCTTCGGCCACATCTAGGCAAAGAAAAAAATTGATTTTTAGGGACAAAACAGAGTATGCCAAAATACAATCACCTGGGGCTTCGTCATCGGCCAATTCTTTCAGCTGGAGGCGCTTTTGCGATACAACTCGTTGCAAGACGAGCGCATCTTTATAGATTTGAGAGTCCGGCTCATTGAATTTGCACGCGTTATCCAACATCAAGCTTAGATCAGCGGCCTGACAGACAATGCAAGATATTTTCAAATAGCGTCACTCTTACAAATTACCCTTGCTATTACTCACCAAATCCTCGACGCTCTCATAAAAATTGTTCTTCATCTTGTGCGCTATCCGTTCCATGTCTATTGGGTGTTTTATCACCTCGTAATAATCGGGATATTCTATTCTGGACGGCAGTTTCATGAAAATCTGGCACAAAAGTCGTTCGCCCTTTGGATCTCTATAATCTCGCACAGCTTCGAACATATGTTTCACTGCCTTCTCCAATGGCGTCAAAATCTTCCTGGGTTTATACCTGATAATTATTACAGGTGCTTAGAGCTTTATATAAAAATTAAAACGCATTGTTCCTTACACTCGGGCTGATGCACGCTCATTTTTCACTTCCTGTTGCTTTTCCACCGTATTGAACATCGGTTCCACTTTAATCATTAAATGTTTCTCCATCAGATTTGCATCCTCATATATAGGGGAATTTTCCTCGTTAAATTGCCTGGAAGGAATTAAATGATACAAACTCAATTGCTTAATTGACAATCAGTCTTCTACCTGCAATTGGCAAACATCAACTGGAAATCCTTCACTAGATCTTTCTCGCAACTGTACTGCTCAGCTTTGATTTTTGATTCGATTTCCAAAAAATCAATAGGCTCGTCGATGACTTCATAGTATTCTGGATAGAGCTTTTTCGACGGTTTTTCCATGAATCCGAGCATTGGCTGTCTTCCATCTTCACACTGCAAATTAGGGAAATTTAAAAAAATCTTTCAAATTGATGATCAAACGCGTAAAAAATACCGTAAAGTCCAGCATATATTTGGCCAAAGTGAATAATCGTTTCTTCATAGGAACAAAATCCTTTGGGGGCCTCCCTCGCATCGGCGTGCCCATTGGGCTGAGGTTCTTCGGTTTTTGTCCGGACTTTTTTCTCGCTGAACTATCTTCATCCATGTGCTGAGAATAAATAGCAAAAATATGATTTTTTTAGCTCATTAAGTCCCAACTGCACTAAGATTTGTTCCCCCAGTTCGGATTAGAAAATTAAACCAGTAATTTTGATAATTTGATCAAAGCGCTGCGAATTAAAGCCATAAGCGAAAGCTACATGCAAAATGATGGAACACGTAGGACCGCAACAAAAGTACAGATAAATTATTAACAGACACGAAAAGCAAATGGTAAAAGTTAAAAAACTGATCGTTTTTGGAGCTAAAATGGAATGATTTTTTATTGAAAATGATAACTTAACGTTAGTAAATAAGCAGTGCAGTTAGCATACCTTGCGAATTGCTTTGTTAGTTTTCTTATGGGTTACCTGATCGATATCAAGTAGTTCTTGCACTTTCGCTTGCATTACTCTTTGTAATCGCACGGCGTCCTGAAACAGAAAATTGAACAGTCAGAGCGAATATACACATACTATTGAGTCATATTTTACCTTATACAGTTTGGAATTGGGTATGTTATACTTCTTGGCATTCTCGAACATAATTGTCATGTCGCCAGCTACTTCGCTCACAGTACCGTAACCTTTTTTCGTTAACTTGGCCCTAATTTGAGTAAGCGACAAAGGGTTCTTAATCTCTTTGTAATAATCTGGATATATCCGTCGCGATGGCAGTTTCCAAAAAGGCTCTGATAAAGGTTGGCCATTGGATCCTTCTAATCGCCAGACTGTTTCCAGTAGCTTCCATTGCGGATTGTCTGGCTCCATGCAGACCTAAATTGAATTTGCTCATTGAATTAATACACTTTACGCACGGCAGGCAAATAGTGCTTACAAAATCATCATGATGAAGCTCAACCAGTTTGGGACTTTCCACATCTCGTCGCGAAGACTGAACTGGCTCAGGTTCGGAATCAACTTCAGAATCCGGATCGGATTCCTCCTGATTCTTCTGAGCCAGAGCCGCAATGTAGTTGCGAGACTTTCTCGGCTTCAGCCTCTCGCCCGACTTACTCGTATTACTGGGAGACGAAGGTTTTGACCACTGTTCCATTATTTCTATCCGCTTTTGGTTGATGATCTAGTTCACAGATATCAGTTAAAAACCAAACAGGGCTTAGATATAAAATAATTTACCTTTTTTAGTTGTTTGGCGTGGTTGTATATTTGCGAATTCGGTTCATTGAATAGACAGGCATTCTTGCACATTACAACTAGATCCTTTTCTAGCGTCAGTAGATTTGGGTATTGGTTGTTTTGAATTTTAATGGCTATCCTCTTAAGGTCTATCGGCTGTTCTATGACCTGGAAAAAATTGCAGGCGTTGATTAAAAGTGTTTTTTGATTATGTTGCTTCAAACCAGTCACATACTTCATAATATTCCGGATACTTCGACTTTGAGGGCAATAACTGGAAGTGAGTATTAAGCAGTTTTTTATTATCGTCTGTGGCGGTCATCACCACATTGAACAGTTCTTCATACTGTTGAGGATCTGCAATTTGCAACATTAGTTTAAGGCCCATAAAAGGGATAAAATAACGCAAAAAGTGCTCACCATCTTTACTATTCACCGAAGTGAGCGAATTTGAATTATTAAGACTATTATTGTGATTCGAGTTGTTTTTAACTGAACTATTTCCTCGTCGAACTGGCATCCGGACTGGCTTTGGTGTATGATTTGGATTTTTAATTTCAGATTTCGACTCTGCTTTACTATCATCGTCCGGATTTAACAATCTGCAACATTTGATCGTTAATTCCCACTAAATGATCGAGCAAATAACTCACTTAATTTTCGTAGTTAGAAACAGGTTCCACAATTCATCGGCATCCTTCCACTCTTGTGTACTCTTCTTATAAAATGCCTTTGTATTATTTACAATTAATTCTATATCACCTTCTAAGTCATGAATATCGTTATATTCATCAGTTTTGAGTTTCTGTTGGACTTTCAGCAAGTCTATGGGGTTACTTACAACGTCATAATACCCTGTATGGAGACAAGTTGTTTAAAAGCGGTTACATTGAGGTTTCAAGTACAGTTTTACCTGGTTCTTGGCGTCTTTTTGGCACTCTGATGAAAGAGTCACATAAAAGGCTGCCGTCGTTTTTTTTGTGACCTCTTATCGTCTCGTACAATTGGTGACAAGCCTCAATCTGAGTAAAAAGTGTACTTGTAAAAACTTAAACAATGGAAAGATTGCGCAGTGTTAATAAAAATGTGGGCTTTTGCCGGTTGCAAAATACAAAACAACCGTGTTTTGCCTAGTCAATTGATCATGTAAAGTTATTATCAGCAATAGCAATGTTAAATAAACCGTTTACAAACTTTATTAGTTTTCAGGATTCGGCAATTCTATTATATGACGGTCTAAAAGATCGACGAAATCAACTGGTTTACTTACAGGATCGAAAATCTTTCTTCGTTTCCTCATTGTAGGGCCACTACTGGTGGAGGCCTCACTATCATCATCATCATGACGTCCAGCTATAGAGCTGGTTCTTCTACGTTTGCTCATTATACAGCTCGTAATTAGTTAGTTGCACTAAGAAACCATAATGGTACGGAAGGTACGTTCCCCTTCTGAAGGTCCAATGGTATGTAAGAATATGTAAACTAAGCTCAGTTATGTTGAACTTGTGCACTCATTGAAGGTGAGCATGATGGTACTTATCGAGCAGTTAACTTCATGTACTCAAAGGCGAAAACAGTGTTCTTTGAAACAATAGGAAATATTTACGATTTAAAACAAGTCCTCAAAAATCATTACACTGTCTTTATTGACTGTTTTAAAACGGGAAAATGTGGGAACCAAATATTGTGCCGGTGGACTGTTTGATCAGCAGTGTTCTAAATTGCATTGGCACCGAAAAAACACTGAATAAAAGGACCGAAACGTACTGAATAACACGATAATGAGAAAAAACTTTGGATGTCCCAAGCCATACATTCTAGGTTAGATTCAATGACATTTGTATATTTTCCTTAATAGTGCTCGATCCCTATGATCCTGGATGTGGCTTCATATGGAAAAATACAGCTTTCCTTACGAACTACCCGAATTTCGACTACATTCACAATAATTATACCGCACACACAATCACAATAAAATAGGCGCGACTACGATTTCGTCCATTCGACTCGATATTTGCTAGCCACAATGGCGGATAACGATGTTTAGAGAGGGATCGACTTATACGGAAATTCGAAATCAGACGAAGACAACACCATCACAGCCGCAACTGCTCCCCAAGGCCGTGCAGCTTTGGTGGTTGCGTGGTTCAAGGCGGATTCATTTGAGAGGCTTCTACTGGTCTGGCTCTAGTTATTCCTGTTCTATTACTTTAGTGGAACAAGGACACATCACCAATGGAGCGGCCTGCAAAACACTAGCAGGAGCTAATTCCAATTAGTCGTCGACAATGTGGCAATCCAGCTCTATTTAACCAGTGGTGTTTCATTCTGTATAATTTAATTAATATATTTTATTAGTGTATGAATTTTAACTTCTGGTTTTTGACTTGATGGACATTTTCACCTCAAAGAGTGCTTTGAGAGGTAATGACACTGGAAATATGGGTTTATTTAAAATATTTTTTTTTAATATTAATTAAAAAGTCGCAAATTTTTCTATAACGAAGAACCTTCGAGGAACAGGTAAAGGGCAAATTCATTAATAGTTACTAATTATAAAGAAATTTGCATGTAATTTGGACGAAAAACTGGCAAATATCGACCAACTTATGCAACAGCGGGTCACATAAAGGAACAATTGCTTCGAAGGGATTTACTTTGTTGCTTGCATGTTTGATGGGATTCGATATTAATAACATGAAAACACTTGTCGATAATTTTTCTATTCCCATTTTCACACAATATGTACATAATTACGACTGCTTAATTATGTTTGCTAACATAGTTGGCCCTTCAATTGGTTGCAGTGAAAATCGTGTTCAAATGTTGCTTATTGCAGGGAGCATTTGTGAAAAGACTTCCTGCAAAAACAAACCAACGACTCACTTGAATCCACATCCAAACTAACAAGAACGTCTACTTCTATTCTATTCTTCAAAAGAATTAAAATCCTCCTTTAAACAAGCTTTTCATCGGGAAATATTACCTATGAATCTTTTGCTGAGTGTGCCCTCGTTGGAAATCACTTTGCACTCATCTATTTCAAATATCTGAAAGTCTAGGCAACGAAACTTCTCATCGGACTTGTACAGTTCGTTCGATCCGCTGGGCACCAAGTAGGGCCGCCCTGAGAATGGATTAATGAAGTCTGCCCAGTAGCCATTATGGCGCAGCTTGGAACAAATATTTTTAGCAGTTATGAGGAACTAAAAACGCAACAAAAAAATTATTTGTCCACGCGATCTAAACATTTGTTTGCGGCTAGAAATACCAGTTGTTTGAACTCCAAAACCGGTTGCAATCTTGTTCATGCCTTAAGTCCGATAATACAACACCCGCAAATTTTTCAGCCGATACTTTGGGCTTTTTTTGGTCTATTTGTTGCTTACCATTTGGGCCATTCTCTCCGTTTCCACTTCCTTGTTGGATTTAATCAGTTTTCCATCGGGTTTCAAGTTGATGGTGATAACAGACAGTTCGCTTTTCTGCAAGGGCCTGTACGGGAACAATTCGCAAACCGTCTGGCGCAACACAGTCGGACAAGTTTGAACCCGCAGCAGCATGTCTGCCTCTGGATGGTCACTGGTCTGAACCAGCAGGACTAATGTTAAAATGAATAGGAGTTGGATTTCGCGTTTTGCTTACGTCGTCCATTTGCTCCATGATCACTTCGTGATGGGTCTTGATGGTGGTGTGTGTATCATACCAAGCCAGACCGATATTTCCCCGCAAAAACAATGGAAATCCATTGGACGCCAGCAGCTCAAAACTAGGATCTCGCCATACTAAGTTGGAACCTACAAATGGAAATGTGTTGGGTGGATAAAGTTAAGAAAGCAGGGGTGCACTCAGTGCCACTAACTCGTAACATTCCGGTCAATATTCGAAAACATAACTGATTACATCAGCCCCTTAACCTCCCAAAATGATGAAATAATTTACCTGTCTCTTGACGTCCTTTCACCACTTTAAAGGGCCCATTATTGTTACTTACTTTTCGCGAATAAGTCCTTAGAAACTGGCATCCATTGTAAATGTAATTTTTTTGAAATTTTGCTAAGCAAAACAAAACTTTACTACTTGACATTATTTGACATCTGCCAATATAAATCATAATAATGAAGATCGCTTTTGTTGCTTTGTCATTTACAATGACAGGCAATTAAGAATAAAAGCAAATGATTTGAATTAAAACATAACCGCACAAATGCGTGACAAACACCAATAAGAAACTTCTAAGCCCTAAATATGCTGTTTTTAACACTTCTTTCTTATTTAGCGACGTTGATTCAATTGTGCTTTTTGACTGTAGCAGTAGGTAATAATGGGGGGCTTATTGGCATTTTAGGATAAAATCATTTTTGCCGCCGTTTCAGCTGCTGGACTGTATTACCTGGCAGAATTAGTGGAAGAATTCCCAAGTCAAGGCAAAAGAATCGTTTGGTGGATGAATTTCGTAAGACCTTGCTTAGAAGCTGATTTGCTGTAGTTTAACGATTCGTTTTCTTGTACATTCTAGACCGTTCTCTTGCTGTACATTCTGCTATGGATATTTGAAAGTTTTCCCATTCACATAATAGCCTGTGGATTGCTCGCACATTTGTGCCATTTCGCCATAATATCCAGCTTTCCATTTGCGTCCATTCAATCGCCGTTTATGATATTGGCGTTAATTTTCGTCGTTGTGAACCACTACTTAGCCTTCAGTTACTTCCCCAACAATAACAACACTTTATCAGAGGTCAGTGGATGCTTATTTGCGTAGATCTTTTAGGCACACTTTCCTTGCCTGTTTGCACAAAGCGCACCACTACTTAATCGATTATTATTTTCCCTAGATTCTGGCCTATTTCACGTTATTTTTATGGCTGGTGCCACTCAGTCTGTTTGTTTCCTTATCGTTAAGCGATACTTCTTTACCTACAGTTGCTGATCAACCAGGTAGTGTATGAGTGCTCAGTCTCCAATAGGTCTTAATAATTAACTGTTTGTTTCAGATATCGATGCTGTTTCCAGTTATTTATCAAACAAGAGGAAAAAGTATGGATTCCTTTCATTGCTTTCGTATGCTAAAGAAACCGTATTGCCAATAAGAACGAAAAAGGGTTTCTGAGAACCGCAATTCGCAATAGCCAATATTTTAATTATATTCTGTATATACGTATTTATTCAGCTGTTTTAAATGGTGCAGGCTTCAAACGAGTCTCACTGTGCTGGTGAATAATAACAATCATGGCTGTTTTTTTAAATAAAATTTTACTGTCCACTTTTTACTTAACTTTATCCAAACATTGAATTTCAGGATTCAATTTGAATTATGGTCGTGCTTGAAAATCCCATTTATTGCCGTAAAATAAAACTACCCAGAACTTCGGTAGTGGCGTGAATCCCTTAAACTCATTAAACAAAAAAATACATGATCTGTTTGTGTCCTCTCTTGGCTCTCCTTCTATCTCATGGGTTTCCCAGCAAATTAAATTAGGTACACTAAATCCACAGAATAAATCAAATTACCCTGACCCAGCTTGAGGTTCTGTGTTGAGGTTATGGGGAACGTCAGTTGATCAGCTTCTGATCATAAATATGAAAATAATCTTATCTTTAACGAGTAAGTAAACCATTACCATACCATGATTAGGCGGTTAGTCACGTTAACTTACCTATGGGCTGGTAAATAATAAAGGCTCATAGCTGTTAATCCAAAAACCCCATCAAGGTATACGTATATCTAAAATTCAAGTCATTCGAAAACACATAAGCGTAATTTTTAGACTTTGGAAGGTGCGTGAGTGTGAAAAAAGACTTTGCCCTACGTCCATATCATTTGTGATAAAGGTGAGCCGCACTGAGAGCAAATGTATGCTTAATTGCATTGCCCTCGTGTTGATAATTTGTAGGTAAGTACAGTCATGAACAACTCATTTAAGATTCGGTGTATTTGCTATTTAAACGCTTTGGATAGTATATTATCATTTTGTGTATGTGTTTCGCACTGTTTCACAGCCTTGTTTGTCTATGTTTTAAATCAATTCCTATCTCTCATGGCACTTGGATAACTTAATTGAGGCAACCATACAAAACAACCAAGTGTTGTTCATTTACTTTGATTTAATTTCATGTGACATCATGTAGCTGGTGTATGAATCCATAAATTTTGTAGTCAAAGGTCAAAATTGTTCATATTAATTGCGTTAAGCACATGATTCCTATCTAAGCAGTGATAATGTTTTTACAAAAATATCTGTTATGAGGTATAAAAGGTATTAAAAAATATAATAATTTCAACACCCTGTATGTCACAAACTGCGCGTTTTCGGGAGTGCGTTTTCAACCTATTTGAAAACATATTTTGACCAAAACTATCTTGGAACTAATTTAAATACTTACTTGTTGCTTGCTAACATTGAATTGAAAACAATGTCAAGGCTAAAATGATTCCACCTTTACATTTAACAACACACTATTTACCAGGGCTAAGTAGATTTGAAAAGATCCATTAAAGGTAGACTGCTATAAATAAGTCAGTGAAACCGCAGTGCAAAATTATTATAATCTAAACAATGCTAGATTTTCAGGCTGGTGTTTTGTTGCACTTAATCATATCAAACATTCCTTAAGATAAATGCGTTATCTTCACGGTTTTATCACTTCGGTTAAAGAGGTTCGTTCAATTTCAGTGCATTAAAATGAATCTACGAACTAACAATAGAGTTCTAACGAATCTCTTCGTTCTTTTGTGCTGTGTGCCTTTAGCCATTTTACAAGACCAGGAAACCGAAAGACTGATAGCCGAACTACAATTAGACGATCTAGAATTAATTGATGCATGTGAATATTCAGCTTACGGAAGGAAGCAGGCGATTTTAGACCAACTATTTGACAAAACGGTATTTTTCTAAAAGATTTAACATAGTTTTTAGTCTGTATTTATAATAAACATTTGAAGGTGGAACAGCAGAGAAGGTTTGGAGAAATTGTGAAAGGCCATTACGAGCAATTGAGGACGTTTACGGATATTCCCAGTGATTTGGAGAGGAACTGGACGTACCAAGTTAAACCTGGAGACGCTTTGTTGGCTCAGGACAAATGGGACAAGGCAAGAAATTTGTAATAAATCTACATTTCACTGCCGTTAACCAATCATAAATTGTTCGACTAATCATCAGCAGCAAGTTGACGCAAAGAAGTGATATGAGCGATAATTTCCTTTGTAACATTTCCTCGGATGATTCACCAACCCTTTTTAATGTTATTAATTTATTTTTAGTTGATTGTCTTCCAAAATCACATTCAGGAACTCACAACTGAAGCAAAGTTATGTTTTGAGAATGAAACTGACTTGTGCCTAACTGGCATCGTTGGCTACAATGATGCCCTAAATAATGAGCGCAAATACGACACTTTGAAGAAAACCTGGAAAAGTTGGCAAACTATTTACACTACAACTGATATAAGTGACTTCAACAGCCAGCTGGGATTCATTAAAGACGCCGCCACTGTTAATGGTACCGCATAGCAAACGAAACTGTTAATCGAGTCTTTCAACTGAATTTGTTAATTGCAGAATTCGATTCAGTCCAAGACTATTGGGAGGCTTTATTAGACTTTCCCGGCGCCTATGAACAAGCTGACGCGTTTTGGGACAGTATTTCGCCCTTTTACGCAAAACTGCAAAAATTCGTGCGAGAACGACTGTTCAAATACTATAAATTGCAACACGAAACTAACGAAATCCCTGCTTATTTAATAGGTAGGGCGTTGTTATTGGAATAGGGCTTTTTATTGGATTATTTACTTCAGAGAGTTGGGGGATTAACTTGAATTTTGCATTTTAGGTGGCCAATTTGGTACTGATTGGAGCAGCATCGCTGATATAATTTTGCCTCATCCGCAGCTACATTACGATGCAGAATCCTATCTCAAGTACAAGGTAATTTATACATTTTCCTTATTGATTTCCGTTTTGAATTATACGGATCAGCTAGGGAATGCTTGTCCACTACAGGAAAGAACGCACTTTCCTCTACGAGTGTTAAAACACGCACGCCAGTGGCACTTTTTGGACAAATTTGAGAATTTTGAAAAAGAACGCGCCCTTTCCTATTGGTTGACAATTTTGTTCAAACCACAAATCTCCGACTAAGCGCTGATAAAACCACAACTTTTAAACAAATTCTGTTGATTCCAGAGCATAGAAGACATGTACAAATATGCGGAAAACGTAACCAGCAAGCTGGGTTTAGGCGCCCTAGGGGCCAACTTCTGGGAAAACAGCATATTTAATTCCTCAATCTGCGGATCGCATCTGCTAGAGTTTTGTGATCAAGCCTACAGCCAGTAAGTTATGGAAAACCACATTTTCCCTACTAGAAAATAACTCTTTTTGTGGAATTTCAGACTTATAACGTGCAAACAAACATCTTGGAGCGTTTATCTGGACGTTCAAGAAACCGCGCTGCGAGTTGCCTTGAACAATTTGGACTACTCTTCAATACCCAGACAAAATCTTCGCTACAATGCCATTGACGACGCAGTCCAAAAATTAGGTAGGTAAGTTTTAATTGACCATTACTTTTATATGCAACACTAAATCGTTTCTAAGTAAAACCGGTAAAACGATTTGTTTTCAGGATCTCTGCTAGCCATTGAAAGCCTGGACTATCACGGGATTGTCGATGCTCCGACTAACCAGACTGATGATGATCCGGCACAGATGACAAAACGTTTATTAACGGCCCTCAGGCTTATGCCCGGTTTGCCCTACAGCCTGATGGCAGACAAATGGAGAATGGAGGCCATTGAACAGAACAATACGAATCTAGCCGATAGTTGGTGGAAATATCGGTAGGAAACAGAGGGACTCTAAAAAATCAACCCTACTTCTACAACTGTTTTTTTTTAGAAAAGATTACTCGGGAGTGGCTGGGATTGAAAACAACGAACCCGAATACTTAGAAGATTCCAGAATAGTGTCAAACAGGCCCCATCTGAACCAGTTCTTCGGCACTTTGGTCGCCTTTCAGATTTTCATGTACTACAAAGAGCGAGCCGGAAGTCAGTATGTGGTAAACGAATTTGAACAGGAGGAATTTGTGTAAGTCCAAGTTTCCTAGGCAAATGCAGCCGATACATTTTGTTGTTTTAGAACATTGCTCAGGAGGCGTCATACTACTGAATGGCCCTTTTTGCTCACCAACCAATACGGTCTGGATGTGAGGGCTGATGAACTGCTGAGCTACTTTGCGCCCCTTGAACAGTACTTTGAATCAGCGCCTACTGAACAGGTTGCCATTGTGACTCCTACAACTACCACAACAACACAAGCCCCAACAACTAAAGCTCAGTTGGTTACAAAGGATAATTATGTGCTCAATGATCAGCCGAAGCCAAAAGTTCGAGCTTCAGAGGCGAAAAAAGTGGTGGAAGAAGCGGACAGTCACGTTGCTATGTATGTAGGGGTAGCTGGTTTAGTAGTTGTCGCTTGCGCCCTTGCTCTGGGAGTGGTATTTAAGAAATTCCGAAGGAGATCCAGCACTAATAACAGAAGATTTGATTCATAGGGCTAGCTAGTGTTCAGGCATTGTATTTTCGCATCACAGCAGATCTGTCGATCGAAAAATCGAACTTGTTGTGATATTCTTGTCGCTCTTAGCGTTTAGCACATCTCGAACATCACATTTAATTTTCTACGTTTTATTAGCCATCTTTTTAATGTTTAATTTTTCAAATCCCAAACGCACTTTTCTACTCTGATCAGTTTCAGCTATTGATTCTAATGCCTCAACAGCGACTTTTTTGGTATTTTTTTATTTATTCTACATTGTATTTAAGTAGTATTAGGCCAAGTATTGTTTCCTAAGAAGTTCCTCTAGGTTTAGGTAGCCAACAACTAGAACTATTTAAAGTGACACGGTTTTTTGAGCATTAAAATTATTTGTTTTCTATTAGCTGATGTGTTTTATTTCAAACAATTTTTCCCGTTAATTAAAAAATCTTCAAACCCCAACACAAATGGTATTACTAATGAAAAACTAGCCACGCCCAAATATACAAAAGACGACAATAGCGGTTATAAAATCTGACGGATCGCCATCATCCACGTCAACGCGCCGTAAATAAACAAAAACACATAACCTCAAGTTGTAATTAAAAAAACTTCTGGGGCATTTAACAGCACAAAAAATCATGGGAGAGTCGGAGAAAACTAATGTGTTGTCAAAACGAATGAACAAAATCCTGGATTCGCGTATAGAAAACGACCAGGACACCATTGAAGCCCTACGGGAGCTCTCGACGTTCTACACAGAAAACACTCTGCAGGCACGTCGCAACCTTCGAAGCCAGATAGAGAAGCGAAACTTGGATATAAACCAACACTTTTTGGAGTCATTTAGAGTCGTCAAAGACAGCTTTGATAGCGTTTATACCGATATTGCGGAAATGAACAAGAGCATCCAAGAAATGACCCATCAACTCCACAACGCAAAGTCGCAAACGAAAAAACTGCTGCAAAAAACCAGCGCTTTACAGGTAGCGTCTTGCCTGTATTTGTCTAGCCTTATTACTACCTATTGCTTAATGTAGGACGCAAAAGAACGGATAGAAACACATCAAGACGTAACTAGGTCGTTCTTGCAAAAATTCCAACTGCAACCGGAAGACCTGGTGGCTCTTTACGGAGACGCTAAAAAGCTGGACAGGCCCATTACTTTCGACACCTTCAGGGCATTGGCAAAGGTCCAGGAAATTCATGGAAATTGCAAAGTTCTGATGCAAGCAGGACTGCAAACTTTGGCTCTGGATATCATGGAGCAAATGACAATGCACCAGGAGGGTACTGAAAGCACTTTAACTCAACAAGCTCAGTAAGAAAATTAGAACATTCCAGGTGCTTTGGAAGTTTTATACCGTTGGACACAAAGCCACTGTAGAAACGTGGATAATCCAGATCTTCGGGACATTATAGCGCAAGCAATGGAAAAACTTCAAGACCGATCGGTACTTTTCAAGTACGTTATTGATGAGTACTGCATATGCAGAAGGAGCTTCTTAGTTGGGGAATTTCTAAACGCCTTAACCAAGGGGGGCAAGTATGAAAGCTCTCATACTTAGAACCTTTCGACAATGTTTAATATACAGGGCCATCAGGAAACCCAGCCCCTATCGAGATGAGAGCGCACGATGCCCAGATTTACGTTACTGATATGTTGGTTTGGATTAATCGCGCAATTCCAGTGGAGAAGCAAAACTTGCAGCTTTTAGTTAAAAGCTGCAACTCCCAAGGTATTTGCAATCGCACCTAACGTTTCCTGAGATTTATTTGGATATTTAAGGGCTGGACGCTATCCTGAATGACGCTCTGGCAAATATTTGCGAGGGCATTTGCCAGCCCTTGAAAATACGAATTGAAAAAATCCTCAATGTGCCTAATCAACCCTCGACTCTGTACGCCATTGTTAATATGCTAAGGTCTGTGAACACAACGACTTCGCTCATGCAAAGTTAAAAAAGCGCATATTTCAGATACTATAAAAAATGCATCAACAAACTGGTGAAAGGAGGACAGCTTGAAGACACCTTATCGGAGCTCATGTTGAAAAGCGAGCAAGTTTTTTTGGATTTACTGCGACAGCAAATTAACGGACTGTTGGTACGCGTTGAGGCGCCTCCAAGAGACTTGAGCCCCACATCAGCTATTTCCCATTTACTGGCTGTTTTAAGAGACATGCTTTCAACAGCCAGCATGAGTGAAGGTGCGGCTTATTGGTCAATTTCCCGTTTAAAACTAGCTGAACTGCTTATTTTTAAGGGCGCGAAACCGACATGGTTAAAATAGCAGCCACAATCTTAGAGCCGCTGCTTAGAGCAGTGAATGAGCAGGCCTCAAGGCTCCCACCCACTGATATGGCGGTCTATTTACTGAATTGCATGTACTCAATGTACACCTGCCTTAGTATGTATGAATTCATGGAGGAGCGATTAGAGAGGTTGCAGGTGAGGTTCAAAAAATCAGAAATGTTGCCAAATAATGGGTTTTCACTAATTTGACCCATTCAGGCCCAATCAGATGCCCAAATAGACACGTTAACTTCGGAGCAGGCCAGTTCCTTAGTGGCCAATTTAAATCTGGGCCCCATTTACACTATTCTGCAGGATCATTGCCAAGATGCTCTATCAGGAGTCCCCGGTAAATTACTAAACGCTTTTTGCTGGTGGATTATCAACAATTGATTGTTCCACAGGAATGGAGCCTTCTAATTTACGAAATTTCCTCGTCAAGCTGGACAATCTATCAACGCAACCGGACTCTATTCTTCTGCCGCAAATCGGGCTGCTTCTCTCTTCGAAGCACAAAAAGGCGGTTCAGAAAAGGTCATTTGCCGTCCTATTGGCGATTTATCGGCAACTGTACGACGCGGTACACAATCCGGTAAATCACTACGAAAATCCGGCGGAAATTTTAAGCAAAACGCCCGATGAACTTAACAAAATGTTCGAGTAAAGGACAGAGTGTGGGTTTAATTCGCCGAAAGTTTAGATTGAAGGGAATTACACAAACCATTTGTTTCATTCACAGCAGGGGCGGATCCAGCTTTAAAGTCAGGGGAGGGTTATGTAGAAAAAATACAGTCTTCTGTTGTTTATGAAATTAGAAAAATGATCGTAATTTTGTGCAAGGGTGGCGCAAGATTATACCGAAATTTCATGTTTTCCGTCCCGTTTTTGCTCATATCTCGGAGGCAAAATGAGCAAGAACGCTCATTTGTACATCATTCTAGACAGAAATAAATGG